AAAAGTGGTATTTATAGATTAAGCTGTAACGATTGCAATACATCTTATATAAGAAAAACTAAGAGAAGACTCAACATACGAGCTGGTGAACACATCAGATATCCAGCAAAGTCTACTTTTGGACATCATATTAAATTTAATAATCACAATTTCACTCCTTCTGAGAATGTCACTGTTCTTCATAATATTTTTAATTGCAACTTTAAATTAAATCTGCTCGAAAACCTTGAGATACACAGAGTTTAATAAAACTAATGTCACATGTGTTACTCAAATCCATCTCAATAGCAAAGTGCCTTCTCTCTTTAAGAGTATTGTCAACGGTTGGTCTAAAGTTACCTAGCTAGCTTCGCCATCAATCTTCTTACAGCGGAGTTAATCTTGTCTTCTCCGGTGATTGCTGATTTCGTGGTCAGGACGGTTTTTCCTCCTCTTTTAGCTGGAAAAGTTGGTCTGTCTGCGACTTTGGTTTCGCTGGGGTCGGTATGCTCAATTTTGTTGCTTTCGGTCTGGCACCTTCCATTTTTAATAATTTTTATATAAAAAATAAGTTTTTTACCTTCATTCACTGTTTATTTTATAATTCTATTTAATCATTGTAATGTTTTGTTATTTAAAATTTAAAAGTCTCACCATAACTTGTTCTTGCTAGTTCAGTGGTACCAACCCACTTTTATCATTTTCAATATTAACTTTTGACAATTTTTCAAGAAATTCATTTTAATTTCTCAAGTTGGCAATTGTCTTGACAACTTCATTGTCAAATGTCAATTGTCACTCAGTTCTTTTGTGACAACTGTCAAGATGGTCACGTTTTCCAAAATTTCGTGTACTTACTACAATTTTTTGTGTTCCAACTTGCCTCCGCCTCACGGTAGCAACTTGAAAAATCTAGCTAGCTTCGTGTTGAAGAACAGCAGTTTCTCTGCCTTTGAATGCTTTGGATTGTACAGTTTTACTTGTTGGGATGAACCCCCACGTCATTTCTTAAAATTTAACAACATTTTAAGAGTGGTTCTTTTATTTTCTATTATTCAAGCTTCAAGCTATGGTGGACCAGTTGCTGTCCTTTTTAATTTAGTTAAACTTTCATGCTACTTCTACAGTTTTTGACAAGTAAGTGTTTAAGGTTTTTTATTCAATGTTTAGTAATATTACGAGTTGATTATACTGTTACAGTTCCATTTTTTTCTCTCTTTTGTAGAGTCTCTGATGATGGCCTAATAGGCTAAAAGCGCTTAAACTAATTTTTACAGAGTTTTATTAATAAAACTCAACTTACACACTTTAAATACTCTCGATTCATTTCTAATTATTTATAATATCATGAAATAAATATCGATCCGTCTCTAGAATTAAGTTTTTAAGTTTAGTTTTGTAATTTCTAACATTTATAATTTGTTTTTTCTACAAGCGTGCGAGAAGATTATCTTCTCGCACTCTTTCGAGTGCGTATCTACTCGCACGCACAGAAATATAAATTGAAAAAAAAGCAAGGTGTACTTACCGCCGAGACCCGGGTTTGAACCTAAGATCTTTGCGTTATGAGCCCGAAACCCTAACCACTACACCAATTCAGCACATAACATCGGTTTAATATATGTATACTTAAACTGTATGTTGTACCTAATGTCATTATACAAATTAATTCTCTATTTTAGAAATAAATGCGCTTGTAGAAAAAATGTTGATCGTAACACGTGCTAGAAGCACTTTTACGCACTCACCTGCTTACCCGCACTCCGCTGTGCGTCGTGCGGGTAACGCAGTTTCGTGCGTAAAAGTGCATCTTCTAGCACTTGTTGCGGTAACTACTATTATTTGGTTTGGAAAATAATTATACAATTTTGAACTGATGTAGTTACAACTGTGCTGACCTATTGGTTTATTACATTTAGGAAGCTGTGTTTTATAATCTTTGTTACTTGTTTTATAATCATGCTATGGGAACTGTATTACAATTTACTTTTTACTTTCCTATTTGTATGCAGATAAAGAAAGTATAGGAATTATGATTTTTTTTTTGACCTCGAGTTTTCGACGGATTTTTACGTTTGGGGTTCCCTGAATCCATTTTAACTATTTTCGAGATGACCTCTATGTGTGCGTGCGTGCGTGCGTGCGTGCGTGTGTGTGTGTGTGTGTGTGTGTGTGTGTGTGTGTGTGTGTGTGTGAGTGTGAGTATGAGTGTGAGTGTGAGTGTGAGTGTGAGCGTGAGTGTGAGCGTGAGCGTGAGCGTGAGCGTGAGCGTGAGCGTGAGCGTGAGCGTGAGCGTGAGGGTGAGCGTGAGCGTGAGCGTGAGCGTGAGCGTGAGCGTGAGCGTGAGCGTGAGCGTGAGCGTGAGCGTGAGCGTGAGCGTGAGCGTGAGCGTGAGCGTGAGCGTAAGCGTGAGCGTGAGCGTGAGCGTGAGCGTGAGCGTGAGCGTGAGCGTGAGCGTGAGCGTGAGCGTGAGCGTGAGCGTGAGCGTGAGCGTGAGCGTGAGCGTGAGCGTGAGCGTGAGCGTGAGCGTGAGCGTGAGCGTGAGCGTGAGCGTGAGCGTGAGCGTGAGCGTGAGCGTGAGCGTGAGCGTGAGCGTGAGCGTGAGCGTGAGCGTGAGAGTGAGCGTGAGCGTGAGCGTGAGCGTGAGCGTGTGCGTGTGCGTGTGCGTGTGCGTGTGCGTGTGCGTGTGCGTGTGCGTGTGCGTGTGCGTGTGCGTGTGCGTGTGGGTGTGCGTGTGCGTGTGTGTGTGTGTGTGTGTGTGTGTGTGTGTGTGTGTGTGTGTGTGTGTGTGTGTGTGTGTGTGTGTGGGTGGGTGGGTGGGTGGGTGGGTGTGTGTGTGTATGGGTGTATGTGTGTGTGTGTGTATGGGTGTATGTATGTTCCTGTATACACGATAACTCAAGAACAAATACAAAGAAAAACACAAAATTTTAAACTTAAGCTTTATTCCGGCCTGCGGTGAACTGATTAGATTTTGGGCAGAGTCAAAACATCTAAGGGGTACTTTATGGGAGGTCAGATTTTTAGTTAAACTATTATGTGTTTCCTCTTACACCATAAGAATAGAACTTCTGCAATAGTTTGTTATGACAAACAGTATCAAATGCTTTAGAAAGGTCTACAAATATGCAAAGAGCAAGTGTTTTTTATCAAGTGCATTATATTGCATCTTCTATTGACTTACCTTTTCTAAAGCCTTTTCTAATTTGTCACTGATTATATCGTTGGCTTTCAAAAAATTTGCTAAACGGAATTTTTAAATTTTTTGTAATTTGAGATTTGACTTTCATCCCCAGCTTTATATAATGGTTTGATCATTCCTGTCTTAATTACTTTAGGGAACATTCCTGTTTCGAATATTTTATTAATAAGTTTGTCAATTGTAGATTTGCTGTTTAATGCTTTACACCCTAGTAATATTTTCCAGAAAAACAAAATATTCTTTTTCATCTGTTTTTAATTAAAGGTTACAGTATGCTGGTTTTGATTTTTGCAAGGAAAAATAGATTATTTACAATAATCCACACCAATCTTATGTTTATGGGCAATAAATCGTCGATTATTTAATTATAATCTTGTTATTATACTGAAGTGGGATTTACTTACTTTATATTCAACATTATAAACTGATTTAAGAAGCAGAGAAGGATGAATTTATTTATAAAGTTACTATATGTTTCACAATAAGCACTTTATATTTACCTTCATTCGTAGATTAATATTCTTTTTGTAAATGTTTTATATCGTTTAACATTACCAAGTTGTCAACATCATCTATCTTGCAGGCCTTTTTAGCAACCTTAACAATTTCATTACCTTGCACCTCACTGTGAATTTATAGCATATTATAATGTATATTTTAAATCCATGCCCATATTGTCATAGTTATTTGTCTTCTATAATTTATAATATTAAAATGACTGCTTTTCTGTGGATAATTTCATGTCTCACATGAATTTATTAAAATTATTAGTAAATAACTACTTTGTGTTAACAAATAAGTACTAGATACAGATATTATTACTTTGTTTTGTCAGAATTTTTAAATCATGGAATCAGTTATAGTTAATAAAGTGTAGTTTTGTATTATTGCCATAGAAAAAAAAATAAACGTTTTCGAATATGACTCGAATGTACATTTTATAGTCGTATATGGCCAATGTAATGAAGTGTAGTCGATAGCAAATGCGAAACAAGGCAACTACAAGCTAACGATCCCACTTTGAACAGATATATTAGAAAAGCAGTTAGTTACATCAACCTCAACCTGGCTTAATTTGTACTGCGGTATTTCTCTAATTAGGAAGGGCTATTGCCGCATTGATACCTAGTTAGTGTTAATTACCTTATTTCTTTTTATAACAATATTTCCTTGACTTTATTCTCATTATGTATTGCAACAATTGTTTAATTTAAAAATACTTTATACTGTGTATCTACTTAAGTTGGAACCATATGGAAAACATTTTTATTATTGATTTTAGGAAAAAAAGTTATTCTTGATAAAAAGTCCTGCATGACCCAAAACCTAAAATACAGTCATCACATATCAAATTTTTCAAGCCGTATACGAGGTTTTTAAAAAAATATGAATTTTGCTCAAGAGTAAAGTACGTTTATTTTTGACAAAATCGAAAATTTTCATTAAGAAAAGTTGATTAGAATTGAATATTACATTCAAATATGCAATTACACCGATCTATCTGAAAAACAGATTTTCTTATTTTTTATAAACTCTACACTCTATACAAGGGATGTTGCGAATATTTGCATCCGCATCCGCAAATGCGGATCTTCCGCATAGATTCCAACATCTGCATCCGCAATAATCAATGCGGATGTTCATCCGGATGCGAATGTAATACAAATGGCGAGTTGCGGCAAGAAAAAAATTGGGCGGAGCCGGCGATTGACGCGCGCCGTTCGCACGACACGTTTGCTGTGGGATGTGGTGTATCAGTTGTTTCTTGTATACATATAAATCATTACGTGTTTGCGCTATTTGTGGATTACTTATCAAATAGATAGAATGATATTTTGAGTGTTATTGTGATAGTGATCATTGTGTGTGAATAATTGTTTATTGGGAAATCTTTATATTAGTCTTAGTCCAGCTTAATAAATTAAAATCGCCAGGTAAATGCCATTATGTTATACCGGTAATACCTATTATTGTAGGTAAAGTTTATCGTTTTATAACAATATTCTGTATTTTTACAGAGGGTTCCCATTATTGATAGATTACCTTACAAGTTAGTTAACAATGTCACCACCAACACGAAGTACGAGTAATATATGGAATTATTTTGAACCAAAAATAGAGGACCATGAAAAGGCTCATTGTAAAATATGCCATAAAAGCTACTCTCGCAAGGGCCGAACCACCTTATCTTTAAAAAATCATTTAAAATCAATGCACCCAGAAGAATTTTCCATATTTGAGAGCATGAGTAAAGAGAACCAATTACAGAAGACACAATCTGATGCAGGTAAGTTTCATTATATACAATTTTAATTAATTAGTTTTTCCTTGAGGCGTTGTTTGGTTAGGTTGTGGTTTAGGCGATATTTTCACTCAGTATTATTGTTTGCTGCTGCCACATAAATCCGTGACTTGTAGACAGATTTAGGTAATTCATTATCTATTTAAAAGTCTTAGAGAAATTTTATCAAGATCAGTTCAATATTTTCTTTTAATGAGGCAATCCAACAAATTGTCAAAACGATTGTTTCTCCTGCAGCGTCATATGTCATTTTGAATTTAAAATAAAGCGGGAAACGAGATCATTAGCTGAAAAGTCAAAATAATGTCCCGCGTCCATTTATTTTAGACAAAGAAGAGATACATTCAATATGGCGTCTGCAGGGGAAACAATCTAATTGCCAGTTCGTTGGACTGCCCCATATGACATTGTAAACGAATTTACATATTTCGCTTTTTTAGCAAATGATTAGTCTAGAAATTTATCATAATCATTATTTTATCATAAATATATAGGTAGGTAGTGCTGTCTCTTTTTAGCATTTCGTTAGTTGTAGCCGTCTTGATTCTTGATGCTAGAGGGTCATCTCTCAAATTGACATGACATTGACAATTATCATGTAATTTTTTTTTCGTTCCATTTGAACTTTCTTGGTCAGTAATAATTAAAAGTTTATCTGGAGTGAGGGTAGCCATATGTGAGTAGTAGGGATTAAGTGTAAAGGTTAAAGAAAAGGTCCTTTATTTCTCACAAGTCAACCACTTGTGAGACTTGTGAGAAATAAAGGACCTTTTCTTTAACCTTTACACTTAAAAGTTTATCGTTTTATAACAATATTCTGTATTTTTACAGAGGGTTCCCATTATTGATAGATTATCTTACAAGTTAATTAACAATGTCACCACCAACACGAAGTACGAAATCTGGCCCGTTTGGCAATATTGTGTTATATCTAATTTTTATTTTTTTGCAATATAATGTAGGTTGGGCAATTTTTTTCTCTTAGATAGATTTTGATATTTTCAAAAATATAACTAGTACGTGTTCTTTTTTAATTTCGAAAATTAAACACGTCCCTTGGTTGTTCGTTTCTTCTAGGTACCTAGATAGATTTTTAATTCAAAAAATTTTAATTTATATAAGTATGTATTTTTTCCAGATAAAGTTACCACCCCTCTGCAAGAAGCAAAGAAACAACTCTCGTTAGAAGAAATGATTCTTAAATAAAAGAAGTTGGACATTCATAATTCAAATTCGAAAAAAAATGATAAACTCATTGGAGAAATGATTGCACTTCAAAATTTACCGTTTAACTTTGTTGAAGGGCTGGGTTTTCGCAGGTTGATACAAGAATTAGCACCAAGATATAATTTTAGGGGACGCAATTTTTTTACTGATTTTGTATGCAAGGAATTATATGGCAAAGTTGCTCAAAAAGTTAAAGAATTAATCGAAAAATATGATTACATGTCGTTTACGTCTGACATTTGGTCGGATCCAAGCTCAAATGCTTCTTTGCTTAGCTTGACTTGCCATGGGATGGCAGAAAACTTTGATAGATCATCGATTATATTGAAATGCGAGACATTCGACGGCCGTCACACTGGTGACATAATTTCCGAAAAATTTAACACGATGCTTTCTGAATGGAATATTAAAAAAGAACAAGTGCATTGCTTAATCAGAGATGAAGGATCTAATATGAAACGAGCCGTGCGATTAGCAGCATTGAATGACATAGATTGTACTGTTCACAAAATTCAACTTGCTATCCGCAGTTGTTTAGGTTTACAAGAAAACATAAAAATACTCAAACAAAAATGTAAGAAAATTTCGACTCATTTCAATCATTCTACCATTGATCAGAATCAACTGCAAGAAATTCAGGACAGACTGAATCAACCTCATCTCAGAGTATTCCAAGATTGTGTAACGCGATGAAACAGTACATTTTACATGTTGGGGCGTTTTTCAAAGACAAAGGATGCCCTAAGGTCTTTACATCAATGATAATGAGATTAATCCTATTTTGCCAGAAGAATGGAAAATCATTGAAAGTTTAATTCAATTACTGAGACCTTTTGAGGAAGCCACACGAGAACTAAGCAGCTCTCACGCCCTTATTTCATCTGTGATTCCAATAATTCAAATGCTTGAAAAAAAATTGATGACTATTTAACAAGATCACAAGAGTTTGATCCGATTCGACAGGCCATCACGACTCTGAGAAATGAACTTTCAATAAAGTTTTCCAGCTTGGGAGAGAACAATTTATATATCAGCGCCACCTACTTAGATCCTCGCTATAAGCACACATTTTTTACACCGGTGACCGAGGAAAAGATTAAAGACGACATTTTGAGGATGACAAATACTGAGAATAACGTTTTCGGTTTTCTTACTGCCAATGCCGAAGGGACTAAAAGAATGAGAATGACTGATTCCACGGAAAAGAATATGGAGCAACTAGGACCAGGACCATCAAGTTTCGTCAGAAAGCCAAGCTTAAAAAACGACCTTGCTATGATGTTAGACTCGTCAAGTGAAGATGAGAGTCAAGAAATACCAGAAAAAGGTAGCCCTGAAGCTGTACCCAAAAAGGAATTACTTTCTTACCGCACTTAAAAAAGAGTCAATATAAATGAACATCCTCTTAAATGGTGGAGTGTTCATCGAGACGAATTCAAGATATTATCACCGATAGCACGAGCATTTTTATCCACTCCACCAGGCAGTGTTCCTAGCGAACAATTATTTAGTAGCGCGGGTTTAATTTACGAACCTCTGCGTAAACGCTTTGAATCAGAAAAGGCGGCAATATTACTCTTTATTAAGTATAATGCTCCTATTTTTGACTTCATTTACTAATATGAAAATTAGTAAGTGAAGTTAAAAAAAATAGGAGCATTATACATAGAATACATACATTACATACATAACATATTACTAATTTTCATTAATAAAAATTTTAATAAATACTTTATCATTGTTTTATTTTAATTCTTCATTCGTTTTCGTATTCTATTTTTATATAGGATCTTAAACATCCGCATCCGCATCCGCATCCGCATCCGCATCCGCATCCGCATCCGCATCCGCATCCGCATCCGCATCCGCATCCGCATCCGCATCCGCATCCGCATCCGCATCCGCATCCGCATCCGCATCCGCATCCGCATCCGCATCCGCATCCGCGGATGTGAGCCTTCAAAAATCCGCATCCGCTTTCACATCCGCGGATGTGAAAAAATCAGCATCCGCAACATCCCTGCTTTATACATTGATTGTAAATATCTGAAAACGTTATAAATTACGTTAGCTACTATAAACATGATACGCTTTCCTTTTTCTGATGTTTGTGAAGAATTTAGCAAATTTCTTAATGAAAATTTTCGATTTTGTAAAAAAATAAACGTACTTTACTCTTGAGCACAATTCATATTTTTTGACAAACCTCGTATACGGCTTGAAAAATTTGATATCTAATGACTGTATTTTAAGTTTTGGGTCATGCAGGACTTTTTATCAAGAATAACTTTTTTTCCTAAAATCAATAATAAAAATGTTTTCCATATGGTTCCAACTTAAGTAGAAGTAGTATATTAAAAACAGTTTATTTACGACTTATTTATAACGTACTTATTTATTTATTTATTTATTACTTAGGCACTTACTATAATTTATCTTAACTATACAACACTTATATTGAAAATTAACGTCTAGCGACAAACTCGCGCTATTTACCTTTACAAAAACAAAACAGTCTAGAAAAAACCAACTCTGACTAAAAGCTCTACGCGTCAGACTGTAATACAGCAAAAATTCCATTAGCAATGTCTCGAGTCTTCGTGGTAGACAGCAGCGAATGCCAATGCTAGACTTTATGTCGCTTAGAAAACAGGATCGGCTTCGCACAATACCATTAACATATTTTATAAAGCATAAGTGGGTTCACTATAGTAGATAAGAATGTTTATGTGTTATAAAACTTGATCAGGTATTTAAGTTACATTAATACGTCAGGGTAAATTTAATGTTTTTTAAAACGTTCAACTACTGGATAACATTATAAGCTTTGATTCTATAGGTTTTTTGTAGGATTCCGCTCCCTTTTGCGCCCCCCCTCCCCTACTTTTTAAGACAATGAAATTCAGTTAAAACGAGAACCCATCTGGAACCCTTCATCTACTATGATTTTTTTTTACACTTAGTATTTGTGAAAGCCTGAGTTATAGGCTCCTGAAGGAAGGTCAAAGTAAAAAATATTCTATTGATTCTAAAACACACATTAACAATTATTTCTTTGTAATATCGATCATATATGGAGTTGTAAAATAACACAAAAAATTCGTGGTCAATAGAAAATTTTTATTGTATTTCTCAGTATGACCTTCCATAAGAGGCCTATAACTTAGTAATTAAGGCTTCTACAAACAAACGTTATGAGGCAATCAAACCAGATGTAAAATATAAGGAGTGCGAAACCCTTCTACAAACCTATAGAATTAAAATAATTTTTACCGCCATTAACTCCATTTTATTGGTCACTGCAAACTTACATCGACTACGATAGCGTAGTGTCTATGGCGCCGCATTTATTTGCGAACCAATGTTGTGGTAAACGAAACACTGGTTTTAAATCCTACTGAAGACCATGTACATTTATTTATTGGTTCTCTATAGGATTTGACGGATACCGTATTAGCAGAAATGTAATTTCTGATGATATGACATCCAGAATATGAAAGTCGCCATGCGTTATCGTTTTCGATGATGGTAGGTGAGGTTTTTCGGGTTTTTCTCACCTGTAAGTCAAATGGCGCCATCAATCATCTTTAAGTCGCCCCGGAGCGCCACGGCAAATAATAATAATAGCCGTTCCTTTCCCCGAACAAGCTCAGTTTTTATTATTTGACTTGCCTCGGCTATTTGCTGGTTGCAATAGACATTGTTGAAGAAAAAACTCATCTTATTCCAACACGTTCAAAAATTTCCTCACCATATGGTAGGTCTGTAGGATGGCTGCTTTTTGCAGATGTGGTATAATAGGAGGTATATTTAATTTTTCTAGTTGTTTTGGAGGGTTTATGGGGACAATTACTGTAACCAAAACTACTATTGGGATTATTTGTACTCTCTTCATGCCCCAAACACATTTTATTTCTATGGCAAGATTTTCATATTTTGTGGCTTTTTCTCCTTATTAAAATTATTTTAGGTAAGCCTCGAGTGTACTCCTCGGATAATTTATTTAAGGAATCTGGTTTTCTAGATATACGGCAACTTTATTTTTTAAAAATGTGTATCGAAACCTATAAAAATAAAAATGAACTCAAATATATAGACCATCAATATAAAACTAGGGCAAATACTAATAATCTCGTTCATGTAGACTACTTTTCAAAAACAATAAGCCAAAGGGGATTTGTACATAACTCTTCTAGACTATTTAATTATCTGCCGGTACATATAAGAGAAACAAAATCCGTCAATATTTTTAAAAATAAAATAAAAAGACACATGTTGCAAATGAATAGGCATGAAGTTCACGCCGTAGTCGATCCTATGCAGTTCTTAGTATAAAAAATTGTGATATTCATTTAAATAAATGTATTTAGTTTTTAATATTTAATTTTTATATATTTATCCTGTAATTTCAATGTTTTTAATCGATTATAATTATTTTTATTATTATTATTTTATAATTATTCTTTTTTAATATGATTCAATATATCTGTTTCAATAACTATTATTTTCATCATTTTATTGAAATTTTATAAATATAAATGTAATTGAATAGGTATATAAGAAAAAAAAAAGTGTCAATGGCAAATCCACGTGCTGGCTTAGCCTTAGTGGATTTACTAGGTTACTTACACTTATATGTATTTAGAATAAATGATTAATGTAATTCTTGTGTAATATACCTTATATTATTTTATTATTATTATTATTATTATTATAAGTCTAACGGTTCTAAATACCGACCTCCTTTGGAGTGGCGGACAAAGTAGGGGGGAGAGTTGGGCGGTTTGAAATTGTTCCACTGGCCCATAATTAGTTTTTTTTTCATCCCTTACCGTTAAGGCGTGGCAAAGAAAGAGAGGGGGGAAGGTGAAGGAGCGCGGAATGAAGTAATTTTTTGTCTATCTGGACTAAGTCTTATTCTCTTTTTGCCATTTGATAAAAGCGACATATTTTAAAAAGTGGTCAAAAAGTTTATCAGCATCATGTCACTTATATTTTAAACGACAAATTGTATACGACAAAATTAGCAGGCAAAGTAAAATATAGATAATTATAAATATTACAAGAATTTAAAACATGTAACACCTAAGTCAAAGAGCAGCTTTAAAACTAAAGGTAATCTTAAGTCTATTATTTTAAAATTGATTGATGTATCTACGACGAATAGTTCTTCATGTGCTGGAAAGACTTTATTTAATTGTTTGTATCGCAAAAATATATCACTACAGCCACTGCTCAACTTCCATCTATTTTCTTGTACATACAATTCATTAGTAGGTTTCTAAAAATTTGTAATGGGCTGCTGACGTTAAAGTTACAATAAATGATTACTTTAAAGAGCTTGACGGGGCCGAATATTTATTATCGCAACATAGGTATTAACTACAGCAGCAACATAACAGTCGCAGTAGTAATTAATTATGAATAAAGTCTGTTTTAATTGTTCCTTTATGCATTTCTAAACCTAACCTCAAATTTATTCGTTTTTTAATTTTTATTAATTCGTATAATAGTGTCTCTCTTTTATTTAGATTTAATTAAAGTAAATTAGTTTAGGAAATTGACCGTCCTAAGACGATTATGTCCGAAGTAGACGATTCATTTCCCCACTATGCTAGTTAAGATCTGCTTTAGACTGTAATTCTAAAACTCAAGTTTCCAAGTTGGATCAATCCCGGAGAAGTTCTCTAGCGACGACTAATAAAACATTTCGAGCGGCATTTCAAAGAGGAAATAATTAGCAATAGTGGCGTATATCTTGCACAGGGCTGCTTCTAACCTTAATTACGTAGAGAATTGAGTCCTACTTTCAACCCTTGGAAAAATATGGCTTTGTGTGAGAAATGTGTGCCACATAATTACGCGGAATGATGGGAATGAGCGTGTTTGTGAGAATTATGCACAAAATTATTCTATATTATGCTGTTTCGTGTGAACATGTTACTGGATTCCGTCATATAGTTACATATCGAGCTATTTATCTATTACATACCTTATCGCAAAATGTAATTTAAATTTGACGTAAAACTTTTAACAAAATACCAACACATTTGTATGGTAGAAAATAAATGTGTACCTCAGAACCAAACTATGCCAAGACCAAAAACTTGATTTTGCAGGAGGCGCATTTAAATTTTTGAAATACGTATTAAAGGCAATGTATACTTTATTAATTAATAATTTATTAGGAATAAATTTTTCCTACGACCACTTATGAAAGTGACACATA